ACCAATAGAGGGCTTTCACCGGCAGTGCATTGAATCGTGGGTAAGTCAGGTTTTTGTGGTAAATCAAGTCTGCGGACGATGTATGCAGTCCACTAGCCAGTGCCCACCACATGCGCTCCAATACAACACTGGGCAACTGGTAGCTCGTTACGTAAGTCGGTCGGGCTCGTGGACTGTATTTGCAGAGAGTAATGTGTAGGATCTGTGCTTGAAGATAAGGAGCTGGCAGCGGGTAATTTAAGTCCGTATCGCTAAAGAACGTTTTGAGTCAAGGCTAGTCAGAGATTGACCTTCCTCTTCCCTTTGGATTCGGAAATTCAAGATTATGACCAGAAGTTCACTTTTCTTTTCAATTCTATGGGGGTTAGCCACGCAATTTTTTTTTTATTTGCCCTTCGCCGAATACACCCCATATGCGCTCAGCTCTCCATGTGTCCCCCCGCCTCTATACAAATCTACAGGTTAATTGGAGGTTTTGTGAGTAAACTATGTGGAGATGGACGGCAGAAGTCCCAAATTCGTGATTTATTAAAATATCTCTATGATCGCTCCCGATAATGGCACCTCTTATTGTAAAATCCCAACGGGGTCACAAAATATTAATGAGCTTGCGCGTATCCCCTCCTTCCTCCATGGTGGAATGCACCCGTAGCGCGATTTCATTTCGGCCTGAACACGCCGCCGTCCATCGTTTCGCCCGCTGCATCATGTGACAAAATGGCTGCACCCTTAAAAGTAAATTCCCATAGACACCAATGATAAATCCTTATGTTTCAAACTTATTTTAAAAATACAACACTCAGAAGTGTCCAGGCTGGGCAGAAGCATGATGTTCGACATGTCCTCTTTCGTTTTCCTTTCAATTTTTAGTGGGTTGACTGATGAATTTGTGAGAAATCCTCACCCAAAACAGACCTTCCCTAAAATGAAGGTTCACTACCCAGAAAATGAGCCATTTTGAAAAAGCATCCATCAGCAAAACGGCTGAATAGTGCCACTTTCGGACTCGATTGCATCCGGGCCAGAGGTTGAGTGCCATATTTCTTCAATTACCCAATTCCATGGCTCTCAGGACTCTCTGATATAGAATATTTTGAATGTATTAAAACTTTGAAGAGCTCAGTGGACATATTTCTGGCCTATTTGCGGGGCTGTATCCATTATGCATGATATGACCCTGTGGGAACCGGAGACGGGCTATTGGAAAGACGGGACTGAATGAAAGAATGAGGCTCCAGCGACGAACATCGAGCCTTGGCCATGATGGTGTAAGGTTACGTTTCCCTTGGGGTTTTAAAGTATAGGTCGTTGGTTCATGGAGCAACTTTCATTAGTTTGTCATTATGTTTTATTAACATTTCAAAATGATCAGACCTAGCCTACTCACTGCAATCTGGTCTGTTCTCCTGTCCGTATGCCTTCTCATCTTTTTGGATGGCTTCATACGATGAATGTTTACCACATTGCTACACAAGTACGAAGGTTCAGAATACTCATGATGACTAGTGTTAACTGTCAGACCTGTTGCTTTTGGATACAGTAGCCTTCCCGATAATGTCAGCCAATATGATAAGGCTGGGCTATTGCTGGTGAAAAGGATTGCCGTGGATCCAGTCATGGCAGTGTGGTCACGGTGAAGGCGGGTATGATGTATAGCTGCTCCTCCCCTCATTCCTCCATGCTCCTACATAGATAGGACTTTAATTTGCCTGCGTTACAGGTGTATAGCAGGCTAAAAATGTCTAATCGGTTGGCATATGTACGGAAAATGTGTTGCGTAACAGGTACAAAAGGCAGAGGTATGTAATTAGCATGTGAGAAGGTTTTTCTAGTCGAGCAAGGGTGCGGCATTCTAGCTCGTGACTTCGACCGTCCAAGAACTTTCTTAAAATAAATATTAGGATAATGCAGTAGCAAAACGGTACTGGCAGACTTAAGGTTTTCCAGAGTCTTTTTTTCCTCATGGAGTTTTATCTCTGTTTTTTCTGAGTCTATCAGTACTGCGTGGTGTAGGAAGACAAAATTGTATTTGATATGATTTGTAAGAAAAACCTTAATGACGGAATTTTTTTGTTGTATAAATCGGGTTTAAAATACACCTTATGATTTATTGTTTAATCATTTCAGTAACTGTGGGCGAAATAGTTTCAAAGGATTTCTTTTCAGAAACAAAAGCCAATACATTGTATTTGTATCAAGTGAATAATCATCAGGCTCCACAGCGGTGCTCGGACTCCTGGCGCTGGCAATCATTACCCATAAAATTGTGTAAAGTGTCGTTATGGGTGGAAAGGGATGTTAAAAGAGAAATAGATTAGACTGACAAGTGACATGGGTCTCCTACGAGGCCAAATGATGCTCATGAGAAGGGTCGGCTGCTGTTCGTACAAGCATCGAGGAAAGACACGGACGTAGTATCAAAGCCAAAGGATGGATCATTGGAGACTTCTGGTCGTCTCTGGAGTGGAGCAGTTGGAATTCATTTGAAACGTTATGTGAAACTCTTACATACAGCAAGGAAAAGATGCAGAGTACCCTTTCGGGGGTCCGCCCCATCCGGTCCCCCCCCCCATCAAAATGACTTTGCTGGCCCGGCACAGCATTATGTAACTCGAGCTTTGAAGTGAATTCTCTCTTCCCGTTCAGAGCGGAGTTATGTACACGTACCATGCAGACGACGAGTTTCGCACACGGGCGCGGCCTGTGACGTGTTATCGGAAACACTGCGTGAACTACATGTACGTGTAGTAAGTTAAAGGTTTGTAGTTTGGCTGTTATGTGTGCGTAGAATTAGAATTTACAGTCGAAGATGTGCGTTTTCACTGCGCCTGTTTATGTAGGAGTGAAAAGTGAGGAGCCTAGTACGGCCATAACGAACTAAAAGCATACATGGACGGAAAGGCGTTCATTCAAAGTGCGTTCTCCTTAATCCCAAGAGAAAACACTCTATTGTGTGCTATGGATCAGGCTAAGAGCTCGCTGGACCTTCAGCTTGTATACCTGCGTCTATTGTTCGTGGAACAACAGGTATGTTTGTCCCCACCCTTTTGCGACACCACTGCAGTGTGGCAACCACTGTGGACATTTTAATCGTTCGTTTTGTTACAGTGTGCTGCACTTGAAAAAAAGAGTCTTTGGGTTCCTATATCATTATCAACATTTTGTTTGTGATGAGTTCTTGATATTAGCATGAAGGTGGGGAAAGATATTAGTACCATCAATGTATCTTACAAGGGTTTGTAATACAGCCCAAAGCTAGGCCTAACTTAATTGCGCTTGATTTGTGACGTTTGACATTTTTCTTATGATTAGCTACATTACAAAAACGGACAAGGATTACAGAACATACGGCTTTGCATAGAAAGTTACCTGAAGCAGGATACTGCTGATTAGTATTGCAGTATTTCAGATTATCAGGATGTTGTCTTCTTAAAGTGTGAAATGAGCCGCTTGAACCTTTCCCGCCTTTACATTTATGCACTATCTATGCACGTGTCGCTTAAAGTTTACGAAACTTAACGACAAGGAGATTAATGCCAAAATAATAAAACTGATTTAATCGAAGTGTTTTCTCGCTGTGGTATTTAGTATCCCTTGAAATTATTCCACTGAGTATGCTACATGCCGCGGTTTATCAAAGTAGAGTGGAAAAAAGTAGAGAATCAAACTTGTGTGTTAAAAATTTCCGAACAATAACTCTTTTGCAAGCATGAATATCGAATCCATGTTTATACATTTGTTTCAGATTTGTTTTTACATTTCTGTTTCTGGCTACTGGGCTCTAGAAGTGCCATGCGACATGTTGAAATCCTGATATATTGTTTCTTGGGATAACGACATGATATAGGCAAGCTGTTCACAACCTGAGCTAATTTATCTCGAGATGACGACATCATAAATTTGGATGGCGACATCCTTGGGGTAATTTATCATGGGAAGACGACATCGAACAAACAATTGGATGACGACATCCTGAAATAATTTAGCATGGGATGACGACATCATAAAAGGGCAGACATCACACTTGCTGGATGTTGTCGTCACGGAATAAATTATCTAAGGATGTCGTCATCCCATGATGAATTATCTCAGGATAGTAACGTCTTGCCTTTATTATGTTGTAAAATTGAGAAAAAAATGTCAAGTTCTCAACAAGTCAGATGGCACTTCCAGAGCTCCGTATCAGACACCAGGACGCTGATAATAACATTTTCAGCATCTGCCAGTCTTCAGAATGTCAACACAATTCACCCATGCACTCCATCGACACATAATGATCATGTCACGAACAGTGATTTACGGTGCAACATGTGACTTTTGATCTTGTTGTAGGCGCTTTTTATTGGTCGGTGCAGCGAGGGCGGAGCAACTCCGTCAGTGCTGCTGGTGTCGAGCTCTTACGGTGGTGCATCATCACCGACCAAATAGTTTCAACAGAAAACGTCACGACCACACCACTCAGTGTGTCGAGACAAGGTTGATCTCTAGAACTACTGGCAAGTCAGCGGATTTTTCCACGAGAAAAGTAGGTGGCATATCTTTATAAGATACATGTTTACTGTGTTGCAGCTTGGAGATATTTCGTAGTAGGTGCCCCATGTTGACCTGAGCACGGGTTTTTATATCACACATACATCATACACAGACCGATTTACAGGTTCATTATCATACCGATTAAATACTCTTTTGGTCTGATGGTTTCAGAAGCCAACCAAACGGATGATTTCAGTCACTTAGCTATTGGTATAATGTGGCAAAGAAACTGAAAACTTGTGATTTTCTTTACCCAACGCACACTTTGTGGAACTGCACTTTGACGGTTCATAACTGTTTGAATGATTTTGTTGTCTCTCCGCGGGGTATTAATCTTTGTAGCTTTTTCATTTTTTTGTTAAGTAGAGTGCTCTGTCTTTATAATACAGTCTATTTAAATCTAAACTTTCAGTAGTTCTGGTTGCCATTTTTAAGCCCTGGATCGTACCCCCCCCATCATATTTAGCTATTTGCGAAACCCTCTTCTATGTTTAAACGACCTGAAAAAGCTATGGGGCTGTGTATGGGGCTCCTGTATCAAGTGGGTTATAAGGACCTTAAGAAATAGTCCATTTTTGATTTTTGATCAACAATCATATCGTAAAGCGATTTGATAAAGTTAAATATTTAAAGCATTTTTATATATTTCAATATTTTTAAATATTTAAATATTTTTTAAGCCATAAATAATTATGGAGCAATATAGAATGCTGTGTGTTTGTGTGACAAGAATGACTGGAAAAGCTCTTTAACTGGCCAAGAAAACTAAGGTAGCAAGACAGTTGTCCTGGAGGCTAGACCAAATCTTGTATCCTATATCTTTTCTTTGAAATCAGAGGCTCTAGAGACTGCTTCATATACTACAACAATCATCATGACAAATTCTGCGGATTTCCGCCAGTGGGGCAAAGAGATGGTGGATTATATTGCAGATTATCTGGACAATATTGCCGATCGTCCACCGCTCTCTCAAGTTGAACCGGGGTACCTGCGAAAGCTGATACCTGAGGAAGCCCCACACTATCCTGACAAATGGCAAGATGTCTTCGCAGATATCGAACGGATCATTATGCCAGGAGTAAGTGTCCAGAAATTAAGCATGCTCCATTCCTTGTAAAATATCATCTGATGGTCTGAGTAGATGTAAAAAATTGTTGAGTTGCTGTAGTTTTTACTTCAATGTCTCTTTGAGATTCATTTATGTCTGTACGAGCTTCATTTTTTTCCTTGTGTCCTTTTACTCTTCTTTAAGAATCCAAATAGCCACTGTAACCCTGTAAAGGGATGAAATAACACATGACAGGCTTTTGACGTCATAATGTCAATATGCTAGCTCTTTTAATTTCCTCTTGGGAGACTCTGTGTTCATTAAGCCGACAAAACGAAGCCATATTGCTTGACGATGTGCGCTGGCAACACCCGGTACAACAGATGGCCTGATTAAGTCCTGGTTCCCGTGTAGTTAATGAGTGATTTCGAGTGATTCAAAAACAAGCGTAAAAGACACCATGACGAAGGCCCCACATAAAGAATGAGTGCAGCATTGCTGTGTGACACAATGGAGTTCAAGTTATACCTTTTTTTGTATAAACAAGATTTTAGTTGTGCGATCCTCATGCTCCTGGGTTTTAGAACGAATTTACATGTGTCATGCCATCACTTGTATTAGTTTCAGATAATTCTACTTGACATAAACAAACAGTGAAAAGTAAAAACGCTCAATCGTGAACAGGCTTTTATACGTGTCATTGTGGGCGTTGCCAGGATTTTTCAGGGGGGCATTATCAGTAGCAAATCAAGAAACGGTGCAAGGTGTCAATTCCGAGATATTTTCTGTGAGATTGGTGATTTTCGTCCCTTTTTCCCGTTTTGTCCATTTTTTCTCCTTTTTAAAATTCCCCCTGTTCTCCCCCTTGCGACACCCATGCAAATAATATGTTCCTTAACAATACGTCAACTTTGTCTGTCCTTAAAATAAGCGGTGGTTTTTCTCAGAACACGTAATTAATAAGTGTTCATTGACTGTTAATGTTTACAAGTTTCTACCTCATTTTACCGTATGCCCACTTTTATTTAAATGAATGTACAAAACGCACATTTGAATTCGAATATTTTCTTGTATGGAATATCACAATGCATTTGATTTTCGTGTGTCGTTGCTAATCCTTTGCTCATATCTCGACCAACTTCATCCTTGTTATAAAACAGCAAATGACAACGAAAAACACACAGACGTCATTATCGTGAACGGACGTCATTATCCCTTCCAACCATGTTCCACTCCATCTTTCAGCTTTTCTACGGATTTTTGCTGGAACACACAAATTTTTAAGTACGTTATTTCATTGATCTTTAATGTTTCAAGTTGCTCCATTTTTTATCGTTTGTCCCTCTCCATCTCGACTGCCCAAGTCAAGTATTAATATGAATATTTTGTTTTGTATTAGAAATGTATTTACTTTATCTTAGCACTGTTGTGAATCATCGTTACTCTCTGCTTCTTGGCTATTTCGTTTCCGTAACAGGTAACACACTGGCATTCTCCACATTTCCATTCCTACTTCCCTACTGGTAATTCGTACGCTGCTATCCTTGGCGACATGTTGTCTGATGCCATAGGATGTATTGGATTCAGCTGGGTAAGACACCCACACTCCTTGTGGCTATTTGCAAAGATACAGTGCACAGAATACCGCAGCTGTTAGGCCTCCAGGATCCCCCGGGGGGACAAAGCAAACCGATCGGTTTGGACCTTGTTTCTTTCTCCCGAAATTTCGACCTCGGTTGCTGCCTTGCTTTCAGCTTCAAAAGGGTTTGTGCTTTGATCATTATTAAAATGTGCACTACGGATGTATGCGAAAATACTGTTCGAGTGGACAATTGTAGTTGTTACATTATAGTAAACAAAAAGAAACATCTGAATAATAAGATGAGTTGTCACAATTTGTACCTTAAATGGAGCCACCATTTGTATTTATCAAGTTTTAATCGAATCGTTTAGAGCCATGGTATATTAACTTCACACGGTGCCTTTTATGCTCATGTACGAATATGATGCGGAAATCTTCAAACCTGAACGGTTTTACACTCTCTTGGGCTCACCTCTTCCCATCAGTCACTGCAAGTTATGATTGATTTCTATTCAATTTCAATAATTCTTGGTACCTTGTTTGTGTAGATCAGCAGTCCAGCATGTACTGAGCTCGAGATGGTAACTTTAGACTGGCTGGGAAAGATGCTTCGTCTTCCTGATTCATTTCTCTCATGCACTGAGGGAGGTCAAGGTGGCGGAGTTATTCAGGTAAGTCCATTACGCAAGACGTATATGGTTAGCTTGGAAAGGGGCCGTTAATTTTGGGATACGTGTTAATTACATCAACGAGGAGAGTAAGTGCCAAGCATGTCTACCATCAGTTCCCTAAACAACAGCTTGTAAAGCATTAGTGTCATTTTTTTCGAAGTTCAACCGCCCAAGTATGTAGATTCAGTTTGACTCCTCATTACGTTTCATCCAAGTCGACATGACGCTCAGAGCTAGGTAGGCTATTTCATATTACATCAATAGGGCCTAATTGCGTTTTTAACGCTTCAGATATTGGAAGCACCGGAGTAGCACAGATAATCGTTGTCCCACTAATTACACGATGGAGGCCATTTGTTATCAATTAGCAAACAAACATAAATAATTCATGCATTCACGATCTAATGGTGATGAACCAGATTGTTTTTGATGCGAAAAGATGTATGATGTATGTGCAATTTGATTGATTGATTGATTGATTGATTGATTGATTGATTGGTTGGTTGGTTGGTTGGTTGGTTGGTTGGTTGGTTGGTTGGTTGGTTAAGAACCACTTTCATAGTGTTAATATCTGTAATTGGACAATAATGAAATGAAAATAATGAAAAGGTATAAGGAGGAGTGTTGCAATAATTATAGGCTACAGATCCACTCACGTATGTTTCCTTCCTCAACTCAGTTCTGCTTATTGTTCAGGGTCAATACACTGAACGCCAGGGAGCTTCTGTGGTGGAAACGAGACGTCTGATGGAATTATTATGTTATTCAATGATCCTTTGTAGTTGAATATACAGTAGCCTTTTCCGTGCACTGAAAATTCGTTTATTCCCTCTCTCCCTGTAAAACAAATCAATACATTCTTGCCACCGGGGTTTTCACAAGAATGAGAAACGTATGATTATGAAGCAAGCATTGAACTAAAGGTCATCCTGAAGGTCATTAGCTTAGACAGGTGTTTAAAGCGAGATTCGCGAACTGAAAAATCTGGTTCGCTGTGATTTTATTCTGTCACAGCGATTTATTGCGTAACCGAATGTCCAGTTGATGTTCGAATAGTGTAGACTTTAGTAGAGTTTAAATGGTGTCGATAAAAATCAGTTTATAATATGTCCAGGATCGATACTGGCTTCTAATGACGATGTTGCATAAAATGGCTCAATGTCACTTTAATTTTTTTTAACTTTTGGCATGTGTTTCATTACTAACGTCCATTGCAAATATAAATGTGGGGTGTATCTTCAGGAAAACCCCAACAAGAAATAATTTCAACGGTTTATGTTGTACTCTATGTTGGCAACACGGTTCAGCGTTTCCATTTGAGACTACGGCATGCACAAGTATCAAACACTGGCTGCGGCTCTCCACCGCTACCTCTTTTGATCAAAATTTGAAGTCGCGGGAGACAGGACCGGATTATGGCTACCCCTGTCATGCGCCGCCCAACAAAATGGATACACAGGCAGTGCAGGGTGAACATACGTGCAACTAAACGAACAGAAATAGGCATACAAACAACACTTAAATACGACCAACTAAAAACGAGAGCATTGCATAAGAGAAGAGACTGAAAAGAAATAATGTCGCTGGGTTTCTTGTCTATCAGATGATAATGTGTTTTCAAAATACATACTTATTATTTGACATTTGTTTTCACATAAAAGTGATTACAAATCCTTAAATATTATAACGAATCAAATGTTTAAAAGCAGTTTTTCTTTGGCAATTGAAAAGTAATATTTGGCAAATAAATTGATTGCTTTTCTTTTAATTTATGTATTTAAGTTTTATTTAATGAGGGTATACTCCGATCAGTGACAATACTGCTTTCCATAGAGGCCCTCGTTACTAATACAATAAAACACTTAGATACGTATATACAATTATGCTCACACGATAGAAAGACATTAAGATATAGTCTATTACATAAAAAAGGTAAGGATTGGGAGCAATACAGTAAATAAAAAAATGCATTTTATGAGACATAGTCCATTTCCAAAAAGAGAAAGATGTTCCCCTTAAGGCTTGGGCCTGAGCCCAAATCCAATTATTGTTTTGCTTGCTTTTGGAGATATGATGTAAATTGTGTACTTTGTAACAACAAGCCCCTGTCTCCCCTGACCTCTAACCGTGATGGATGAACATATTACACCAGAATCATTTTTCCGATCAGCTATTACACACTAAGTTAATTGTATACATGTGCACGTGGACTTTGTACACGATTGTTAGCGATTCCATGTTATCGTAGGTTTAGACTTTATACATGATTATCTATATAGAAATACCCCAATGGATTGTTGTCATTGGCGTAACGGGGGTTGGGGGAATGGGAGTTTCCTGCCCCCAAGACACCTTCTTTTAAAATCTTTTAATAATTGAAAGCTATAAGTGGCAGATTTCTTTTGGCTCCCCCTACCCCTCCCTGAAAAATACTTACATCCAAGGTATCCCCCAGAGTTTCGCCATAGTCACCTCTCTGACTGACTGACATTTGATCGACCCCTACCAAGAGTAAAAATTTGGGTTTGGGGTTATAATTAAAGATGGTGGGATGGAAGGAAAATTTTAACCATTTCTGGAGTAGAAGAATAAAATGAGCTTTTTTAACCAGTTAGCGTACAAATGAATTTTAATTTGATTAGGAATACCGTTTTGAACTCTCCTAGCAGCATGAGATAAAGCAATTATTCATAAAGACTTTCCCTATGTTTACGGAATTAAGCCATCGATCAGACTTATTGGATTTCTCTCTTGCAAACTCCGCTTACGTCTTATTTCGTGGTCTCTATTCAATATTTCTGAATTTCTCCCTGTAGATTCGGGCACAAGTTTGTAAACTTTCAAATTCTTTTCTTTACAACATTACACAGTCGAACACTGATTTAGAAGCGCACTGACAATACAAAGTCATAACACGAACAATTTTAGGTCCCAAGTGAAATCTTTGTTTTTCTTTCTGTTCTCTTACTGAGAATACGAGGTACCTGTTTAACAAAGTAATTTGCAAAGTCACAATGACCTTTTGATCACAGTATTCCAATGTATTCTGAGCTTTGCGGAATAAACATCTTTTGCTTTTCCCTCAAACGTACTGTGAAGCAAAGTAGTCCAGGGTTCTTTTGGCCACTTAAGCTATTGAGCCAAAATTTATGCTTAAACGAAGTGACTATTTGCCTGTGCAGCTATAGGTTTTTCTTTTTCAATTCAGGATTCATTTTCTCTCGCTCAAAATCCAACCGTTTCAATTCTGTTTCTTTTTCGTTTTCTCTTACCCTTATTTGTAATTTCAAAACTTCAAACTCATTCTGACTAAAGGACAGCTCTGTTTCGTTTCCAATCCATCCAATTTGTAAAAGTGCCTTGGGTACTATACCCAATTTAAATGTGCCTTTTGGCCCCACTAAGGACTCCAACCTAAAGGCTTTCTGCTACAGTAACCAACTGATCTCCAGAAAAGAGACTAGTCATCGACATCTTTGAACGTGAACTTTGGTCTGTCGGTATTAAACGTTTATAAGGGATAATTGTTACACTGACTGAGCACTATAAAAGTGAACCAAAGGGCTGACAATAGAGCATTAAGTAAAGACCGGTGTACGTCTGGCAGGCATAGTGTTACTACATACGTGGCCATAACAGGAATGCCATGTTTGCAATCGCTTGAAAGAGGGTTACACTCCCGAGCGAAAAATAGGCAATTTGGGGGGGGGGCATTAAGACCAAAGATAAGGAGGGGTAGGCTTTTTAATTTTTTAATTGCAGCGTCTGGATGAGTGGCACCTTATAGAAGTTTCCAAAAATGTATGAAAACGAGTTTGAATTTTTCAGATTTTTAGGCCAGTGTCTCTGCCTCCTTCCAAAATCAAAACAGGCGACCTCAAGCAATAGCCAGGCTTCTATTTTGTACAAGATGTCTTAACTTATTCAACCCGCAGTCATTCACATATCGCCCTAGATTTTGAATTTTGTGTCACTTGGAACATCTTATAATCTTTGTCGTGTAATTGGGATTTCAGCTGGTTGTTATTCTTGTTTGTCTGTTTGTTTGTTGAGGGCTGTTTGTGCTGTTCTGGCCGTTGGAATTGATTGTTTTGTTATCTATTCTTGGTGAATGTACTGTCTTTTGCAGTGTTACCCTCTATGTCGGCTTCTTTGCTTGTTTTTCTAGAGAAAATCTCAATTCTTAGTTACTGACTTTTCACACTTGCATTTCTCACTTCAGTCATCGTTTAATACGTAAGCGTTTTCATATGGCTTTTGTAGTGCTATCTTAAACCAATATGAAATGGGAAAAATACAAAATAAACCAAGTCTTTGCTCTAGAGTCATTTTAAGGATTGATTTTTATCAGAAGTATATTCCATGAACATCATACACAGTATAAGGAAGAATAGTAGATAATCTGCATTCCTTTGCAGGGAACAGCCAGTGAAAGCACCGTCATGGCTCTCCTATCTGCAAAGATGAGATCAATCCGTCAATATAAAGCTTTGCAACCGGAGAGAGACCAGTACGAGATTATGTCCAAACTTGTGGCTTACACATCGGAATATGTAAGTCTTGAACAAGTCCACAATCTTTCCTGCACTTTGTCCCGTACCACAAACACTCGTACATTTACTAATATGCTTCTTGATTAGAAAATTCTGCATTTCATTGCCCTCTGGCATTTCTCGTGTCTGCAAAAAAAGCAGGGGAACCACTCAGTTAAATCTGTTCCTAGGTCATTTTATGAGCGTTCGCTGCACCTTAGTTCCGGAACGAAGTATCGTGAAGCATAATAAGCTGACGCCTTCATTCTATGTGACGATTGTACCGATACGTCAGAGTGAAAAATCAGTCCTATGTTCAGTGTAAGTAACTGAAATCTTAGGCTGGAGCCCCAGAAATTAGCCAAAAGGAAATGTTGCCTAATGAAATCTTATGATTTTTTTTCACAGTATATACATGTACACAAAAGTGATGGTCCAAAAACAGAGCTTTTGGAAAAAATTATTCGTTTTGGGTTCCGCATGTTTTAACACCATGCATTTTTATACAATTGGGACACGTGTCCTGGAGAAAGTTTGAACGCTGCCAGCACACAACCAAATTATTCATTCCACATGGACAACGTCAACGATGTGAGGACTTAAAGGTTTAGAAAATGCTTGGTTCGATTGGGGTTGAAACTGCACTGAAAACCGTTAAAACCATTATACACAACCAAACCGGAAATGGTGTTGAATCCACACCTTCCCGCTGTCGGTGTAAAAAGTCTATATTGGGTTGAATGACATAAAAATCTGTTACTTTTAAACTCTAATCTCGAGTAGTTGTTCTGTTGTAGATTTCTGTACTATCAGACTAATATTCAGATGAATGATCCAATTGGCAGGCCCATTCGTCTGTAGAAAGAGCCTCTTTAATCAGTTCTGTCAAGATGAGAATGCTACCTTGTGATGACAAGTATGCGTTACGTGGAGAAACTCTGGCCAAAGCTATCCAAGAGGACAAGGCTGAAGGGCTCATTCCAGCATTTGTGAGTTGCCTTTAAATTTCGAAAAAAGGCCCCAATGAATAATTAAACAAAATAAAAAAAGTACAGAGAAATTTTACAAAGAAAACATTTTCAAGAGGAGACATAGTCAGGCTTGAGCATTAGGCCTATAGCATATTTAAAATGATCATAAAGATGCTTGTTTACATTTCAAAAGATTGCCCACGGGGCATAAAGCAGGCCTGTTGTGTATGCGACAAGCAAAACGAAAGTTCAGGTCCGTTTCATATTCGAACGCTACTATGTGTAACATTCAGAACAATTGGCCGATATTTGAATTTTGACGCAGCAAAACGTCGAAGTGTGACATGCCTACTTTTCACGGGATAGTGCTTATTCTGTCCACTTTGTGCGGATTCCACGCCTCCGCCGAGTCAATGATTTGTATCATGTGTCCCTGACCTTACTGCAGACGCTTCAAGTGACATGATTTTCACTTTTTCTAATGGAACCACCCGTGGAACCACCTCAAACCAATGCCTACTATTAGGTCGCTGGAACTTTTCAAAATGTACCTTAAAACGTTGCTGTTGTCACTTTATTCTGAGAACTAAATAACTTATTGTCACTTTCATCACTCCATATTATCATTATTATTATCTCTGGGCACTTTTTCTTTCATAAAATTTTTAATATGTTCCGTCATCGTTTGTGTTTCCGTTGCTTTTCTTGTTCTTTCTTATTCCAGTAGTTCACTCCATTCCTTGTAGTTTTTATCGTAGACATTTATTTAGTTAATATGAAACAGGATTATTGATGTAAACATGGATAACTTATTCTGTTCTCATCTTGTAATACAAATAACAGCCCATTATTTAAATAATTAGACAGGTTCCAGATCTCGCACAAGCGTTTGCTTCTGATATGAACCCTCGTATCATTTCTGTTATTTTGATATTAAAACTCAACTCACCACACCACACAACACTACACCACAACCCAACCCAACACACCACACCACACCACCCCCAGCCCAGCCCACACCACACACACCACCCCCCACGCCACACCACCCCACACACCACACAAAACAACGGTCTTTTCTTGTTTTATGAATTAATTTTGTGCACAAAGGCCCTCGCAGCAAACTGAAAACAGCAAAATGAAACCCCCAAACCCTGCAAAATCTGTTCGCAAATAAAACAGAAATTGGAAGAGTTTCCAGTGTCACCGTTATGAAAGTAAGATCACAGGAAACCAATTTGGTGAATATGAAACTAATTTGTTTCAGGTTTGTGCCACAATTGGTACTACACCTTCATGCGCCTTTGATAATCTTGAAGAAATTGGACCAATATGTGAGTATAAGATCTAAGCTGAGAAAATGTAGTTGCTATGAAATCAGTCTCCATAATCCGTATCCTTTGTTTACTGATCCCAAATAACTAAACAAATCATTAAGATAAATTTTGTTTTTTAAGTCCGTCGTGATTTTATACACCTCAGCATAACATTTTGATATGTTCCGTTTTCACATGATCTAAAGGACAAAGACTGACTTCATTTGTCGTCTTTTTATGCAGATTTCACTATCGTGTTATGCTCATTATTTGTCCTATGTATATACATGTAGCTGCTGCAATTTTTAACTACCGTATGACATCTCTGAATGTGATTTGTAGGTGAGGCTGAGAAGGTTTGGTTGCATGTTGATGCCGCATATGCAGGGACTGCATTAATCTGTCCAGAGTTTAGATCACTTGCGAATGGGATAGAGGTTTGTGTCGATTTGTATAAGTGCATATTGCATAATTTGTTGTTTACTGATCACAGAGTATACCCAGCAAGAAATGAGACCGAGGGGTACCCCCCTCCAGCATGTCCAATCCCTATACACATTCCAGACTATTGTTACTTAACACATCCCCCAAGATGTCTGAAAGGAATCTCCAGATTCCTGCGAGACAATAACCAACACAAAGCAGGGGGGGCTCTCTCCGTCTCATACCTTGATGCATATGTCACAGAGAGTCAGGTTTGCTAATACAGCGTCTGATGCCGTCCACGTAAGCACAGGTGTTCCCCAAGAATGTGTTTTGTCGCCTTTGCTGTTCTCTTTGTACACAAGTGATTTTTGCCTTAACAGCAGGTCATGTTTTATAATAAAATATGCTGGTGACACTGCTTTGTCTGGAATGATCACCAATAACCGCGAAAATGGTTATAGAAATGAAATCAGCAGATTTGTGGACTGGTGTCGCCGAAATTATTTAATATTAAATGTATACAAAGTACCAAAGAAACGATATTTGATTTCTGTAAATCAACTCAACTTAAAGAACCTGTTGAAATAAAAAAGTGCCCGTTGAAGTCGTTCGCGAGTTTAACTACTTGGGAACTCTTGCACATGATAAACTAAACTGGAATGCAAACGCAACTACAATCTGTAAAAAATCAAACTCGAGGCCCAATTTTAAGGAAACTGGGATCTTTTAATGTTAGTGACCGGATAGAAACTTTTCTATCAGAGCATTGTTCAGTGGACAGTTATTTCTGCTGCATAAGTTGGGTTGACTCCCTCACTTTGTGCAATCGTAAAAAACTTCAACGTGTTACAAGCTAAAAGAATTATAGGTGCTGACTTTCAGAACATCCAGGAAATAGCTCAGTGTCATGCTGTATACAAGTTTAATGAAATTATGTCTGGTGTTACTCATCCTCTCAACCCTTTCATTATTCGAAACCGATCTGGTGGAATGCGCCCAACTTTCCTGCAAAACAAATAGAATGAAATCCTCTTTTTTACCACAGGCCATCCGTATTTTTAATGCATCTTTTATTAGATGAGTAGTTTTTGGTTTTATTTTTCTTTTCCATGTTTCATGTTTTGTCATTCCACCTTGTTCGAGGGTTTTGCTGTTCCCCCTTCTTCTAAATTGTTATATTTTCCCCCCAAGTGACCTATCTGTAATGTAACACTATGTAATTGAATTCAATATTTTTGAAACTGGTTTGAATTAATGCTTTTGAACTTGGTAATTTTATTTTTAACATTCATGTAATATACTGCAATTTTATTTCCTGAAACACTGGGAGAGCAAATTTCGAGTGAAAACTTTTTTAATCGACAATAAAGTATCTTGAACCTTGAATCTCGAATGAAGTTCTTTAGACAATCCCCCAAAAATATGCCCTGTTGTTTCAACATGGATAGACTTAGACAGTATAAGAGGTCAAGTAAAACTGTCACATCTTCCAAGCACTGTTTCTAATTTAGTTCGCTTGCAGTCACAACGGTATACGATCATAGTTTGTTCCTGGTCTGGTTTTGAAGCTTGCAGATTCTTTCAACTTTAACCCGCACAAATGGATGCGCGTGAACTTTGATTGTTCAGCCATGTGGGTCCGAAACCAGACAGACCTAGTGGGTGCCTTCCAAGTTGATCCAACCTATCTCAAGCACGAGCACGAGGGAAAAGTCGTCGATTATAGAGTGAGTGTCATAAAAAGAAATTACCAGTGGGTTACTAGACGAAATACAACCCGTGACATTATAACGCTTATGTCCACAGTAACTAGACTTTATTGAACCTCTGTAAAAAAGAAAAAAGAGAGCCTGAATGAACAATGTTCATAGTTTCAAAAAGCAAAATTTTTTATGGCATGTGCAACTTCCTTCATTTATGAGTAAAACTATTTTTTTTTAATCTGCTTTTTACTATTCGTGTTTTCATCGATGCAAAATTAAGATTGTTTTGATGGCGAGTCAAACGAAAAGCCATTGCCCAAACCTGGCATACGGCTCTAAGAATCCTCGACAAAGTACAGCTCGTCAGATGGAGAATTTTGTAGTTGATGATGCATAGTTTCAAATTTTACGCTACCCCTTTAGTAATTAAATCTTCAAAAGAGTTTCCGGATGGTCAATGTGTCAGTAATATTTTTTTACAATTCTAGCACTGGCACATACCGCTGGGAAGACGCTTTCGATCTCTCAAGTTGTGGTTTGTTCTTCGTCTTTTCGGTGTGTCTCAGCTTCAGGAACATATTAGAAAGGTCAGAAGGACATTTTATTTCAGCAATCCGAGGTTTTCAGTTAATGCCTATTTCTTGTCCTCCCCTCATCCTGGAATAGTCAATATTGCACATTCAATACTGCTCATTTGGCTAAGCTTTGACATGTTTGGCAGCCATTTGGAGTCACCCACGTAGATACGCATACGATAGATAATCATTTAATAACTTATTTTGGTTCTAAAACCAGTACTCCCCCTTTTACAGGAGTCCGGGGTTTTCTGGTGTAATGGAAAACCTGACAATTAAAGCTATTCTTGAAGACTGGCAATTCAGTTTAAAAATGAGTATGACTTGCCTGAAAGCACACTGAGAAACTGTATCGATGCACGTCACTGAAACGCTGATAATTACTGGTACACTAAACGTTATCTATGCCAAAAAATACAGAATACATATATTCACTAGATGGTGAACTGGGCTTGTTGCAATCATGACGTAATTAATGCCAGAATGTCGGGAAGATATTTACTTTTGTATGAAACCATTTTAGTAAATGTCTTACTTGTTTAAACTTTAAACTCATTGAAACTTATGCTGAGTATTTCAATCTCCATTTCTAACGTATTTCTTTTCCTTAACGAGACATTTTTAATGGAAATTAAAATTTATTTTCCTTCACAGCAAGTTAACTTGGCTCATGAGTTTGAAGCTTTAGTGCGGAAAGATGCAAGATTTGAAATAGTAGCTGATGTCGTACTTGGCCTCGTGTGTTTCCGTCTCAAGGTCAGTAAGTATTGTCACTTTGTGGAAGGTTACTTCCTACAGTGGAAGTCCCATTCTAGAATTAGTACTTTTATTACTTTAATATATAATGAACTATATATCAAAGTAATTTTCACCTATATAATGATGAAAAATTACCAATCTTCTTGATTGAAAAGCGAAATTTCATCAGTTAAAGGCTTGACGTTCACTTGCCTGTCTATGGGATTATTTTGCACATCAGTTCCTTACAGCGTTTAGGCTATAAATATTCTAAGCATGGGCTAGATTGTACATGTTGCACTTACATGGAAGTGTGTGTGAGGATATCGGTGATGACAATTACGACACTATCGATTAGGACAGTATTGACAGTGACAATGTTCGTGACGAAGATAATGGAGATGGTAACAGTCAAGATTATAAAATTGATAATAGTAATCAATGTCTTTCCCAGGGCACAGATGTTGAGAACGAGGAACTTCTACGGCGGGTTACTAAGACAGGTAAAGTGTTCCTAGTTGGGAGTCATCTCAATAAGCAATTTGTCATTCGCTTCGCCGTGTGTGCACCCCAGACCACATCTGAGGATATTCACTATGCCTGGAATGCCATCACTGAAGAGACAAACTCTCCTCTTTTAAATGGGATCACAAATGTGAGCAACGGAAAATAATCTTTGAATGAGACCCTGGCCTACACGATTTCTTGCATCATATTGAGCATATCTTAGCACAAAACAACAGCGAATCATGAAGTGGGTGATTTGAGGTATAAGGACCAGATTTCCCGTAGGTCCTATCCGACAGGATAGTTTTGCGTTCTCTCTTTTGTTGCTCGTTATTTAACGAAATTAGTGTCTCAGCCCTGACAAAAAAATAGTTCGGTTAGAAGGAATTCGTGAAGTCTTTGAAATCCTAAATTTTGGAGATCATTCAAAAGAACCAATGTTTTTAAATTTGGGCCTTTCTCCGGAATTTTTGACGCACCAACAGGTCAGATTTTTTTTTACGAAACGGACTTGCTTTTCACCACAATTCAATGTAATGACACGCATTATGCCTTTATGCACATTTGCCCAAACTGACTTTTTGATCTGAGGAACGTTAGTTTAAGACCAGCCAAGCACATATTTATTCCATTCAAATTGATTCATTATGCTTCAACCGATACGTTTTAATGCTGAAAAACCCAAATCATCAGCTTCTGTAGTAATTACAGACTTCAAAAAGGCATTTGATAGAAATACACTGTTTCTATAACTAAATTAATCGATCTACGAGTGAGAACTGCGATCGTTTCGTGGATTTGTAATTTTCTCTTGTATCGCCAACAATGTGTAAGATTCCACTCTACTTGCTCTGACTGGTTAACACTTTCAATGCTGGAGTTCCTCAGGGCACGAAACTCGGACCTGTTATTTTTTGTCAATGATTAACGATTCTATCCCTCCTGATCGACTACGTGAAGTTTATTTTACATGTAAATGTTTTTCGCTAATAATTAAGTACATGTGCTTATAATGGCTTTAAAGCATTTTAGGTAATGTGTATTGTGGAGTATTGAAATGTTTTTGCGTTTGTGTTTATAATTGAGATATATGTTATATCTTATTTTCGATCTAATTCAGTGTATAAATGTCTTTTCCATTCGTTCCTTCATGCAAATCAAAACGACCCATAAATTTTCTTTTAAATGTACATGTATTTTCAATGGTCCTAAAGCATTTTGGACATAATGGAGTATTGAAATGTTTTGTGCATGTGTTTGTAATGAGATGTGTCTGATTTGTGATGTAATTCAGTGTATGAATGTCCATTATAGTAGGTTGCCTTAATTTTTTAAGCAGGCTTTATAGAGCTGCTGCGCCAGTGTGTATCTGAAGAAAAGTTAAGCACCATTACGTGAAAGAATAAAAATATTTAAAACATCCTAATGCCTCTTGAAGGAACAAACGAATGTATTGGTAGCTGATAATCTCGGTGTTGTGTAAATGTTGACTTGTTTGTATTATGTGTTGTGAAATCTAAGTCATCCAGATGTCTTTCGGAAAGAATAATACATGCAGAGGCGTTTAGTGTAATTTAAAAGAACTCAACTAAGACTTGAATGCACATTGGAATAGAGTGATCTGCTAGACAAGACATTGCAACATTTAATTGTGCTGAAACAGTCGCTGTTGTTCCAACACGGGCTGACGTAAGTGGAACGATTACTGTCGAAGTCCTTTTACAAAGTGCATATTTTTGTAATCAAAACTTCTTATTATCAGAATATAAACATATTTGTTGTTTTAGAAAATTATGAAATTAATCATTTTAAAGTTACAAAATAAAATAACGAAACAGCATTATAAGTCATTAAAGTTTTCGAGTGGTTCTTTATGTAAACATTAGTGTTCAAACATCCATTTATGTTTGTGTCGGGATATCTCAGGGAAGGAGTATGCAGTGCTAAAGGTGGCCAGTGGCGCACGGAACGCGGGGGAGCTCTCGCTGGGCTTGAGCCCTTCTCCCAGATTTAAATTTTTGGTTTACTTTCTGACAAACGAAGAGACAATATATCTATTGTAAAATTGTTAGCTCATATGTGGTAGTACATCCCACTTCCCCGTGGTGCAACAAGGGGGGACTTGAGCATGTTGAGCATGAGCTATCATGGGGGTAAATTCCGTCCGACCCCACCCCGACTGATTATTGGCGCGCCACAGGAGATGAAACGAGTCCCACAGGCCTGACTTGAGACTGGCGTGTATTTCACAAACACCAGAGTGGAATATCCCCGGATGTGGTTTTGACACGAAAAGCCTTTTCAAATTGTTATATTGCATGATTCTACTGCACTCTGGAAATATTGTTAGTCTGTTGTGAATCTTCTTCCCTAAAGTTGTGCAGGCCTAAATATCAACTTTGGAGCAAAAGTTCACATTATTTTGTTGGGATGATGTATGTTTGAAATACATGTCTGATGGACACACACATCATATGGGTGTCTCCGTTGTATATTCCAATATAAATTGCACCGTTTTTTTGTTTATAAGCCTCTTTTTAATCCCTATTAGAGGCACAAATCATCAAAACAGAAGTACGAGGGACCCTAGCCTCTTTCTCAGATTGAAGTTTTTACGAAGCAGTTTAGAGGGAATACACCGGGTTTAGACCACGCCTATATTATTAGGTACCTAACCAGCAAAAGATTAAAAAATATATATTTTTCAGCCTTAAAATAACCACTGGATACCTGCCAAGAAAAATTTTTCAAAATAACATTTTAATGTCTTATTTATATGTGTAAACAAGCCGCCGCCGTTGAGCCAAGGTCATGACGCACGTTTCGCCCTGGTGCGGTAACAATCTACTGGTACCTTCACTCATGCGAAAAATTAAAAACCAGCAAGGACTACCATGGGCGCCAACTTTTGATCTATGTCTGACTCTCACTGCCGCCACACCAGCGAAGGTCAAATACTGTTGCTTGCTTTGGGGTTCAACTCGTACAATTTTTCCTTTTTTAAATTGTTCCCTGTTGGTGGTTTTAACACCCCCCCCTTTATTCTATAGGAATGGTCTTGCAGAGGCTATACTGGGACTCGCTATCCAGATGGAAGAAGACGTCACACCTCCAAAATGAAAATCATTAAATTTGCTGAACCCTCGAGTTGAAACCAAGGTACACAAACAACATGCTGTACCATTTCTAGCAGCGTTTAAAGAATAATGAAGCATAAGGTATTACGCCTCATTAATTTTTAAAGCAACTAAAGAAGGAGCTCGCATAATGAACCGAACTGAAGTACTCCTCATTATAGGTTTTCTAAAAAAAGGTTTGGCTTTTTTAATGACCCCAGTCGCTGGGCCAGCTCACCAAGCCAGGATAAGGAGGTGAGATAGGGGTAGCTCTTGCACTGTACCCTGGCGGCTTTGGTGGAAAGCCTGGGAACCACCGGGATTCAACAACTCTTATTTTATTTCAAAGATGGATGTGCGTCGGGGAGGTGTAAATTAATTTTGGAAGGGCAAAAAGGGAAGGGCGAAAATCCAAAATCAACTCGACTTTTAGTACAGCTTAATATGATTTTTTAATTTTTTTCATAAGATCTTTTTTTCTTTATTAATCATTTCCCTTGCGATAATTTTTGCTTTCTCTTGAACTTGTTGTTCAATTTCTGCCGTGTCTTGGTTTTTAATTTCTTGAAGCGTAGTACTTCCACGTGTTCTGATTTTCTCCTTGATTTGATCAAACCTCTTAAGCTCTGACATAATCAACACAAATTCTTTTCGTGAGAGATGTCCCGTCATTTATTGCCAGAGACACATATTCTTCTATAATGTTAAGTTTTGCATCAGCCCAAACTCCTATTGATCGTACTTCAATTTCACGTTCCATCTTTAACCCGCATAGCAGAATAAAACAAACGCTCCAAAAGTTACGACATGCAGGTCCCTTCTAAAACCAGCCACACAGGAGCGGAAAGAGCGCCCAGATTTAATACAGAGATGCCATCTGAAACCCAGCTCATGAAACAACACCCAACGTTTCGACTCCACATTCAACATAATTTATCGCGGTCAACAACCTCTTAATTTTTTGTACGTTGTTTCTCTTTTTTACTTTCTGTAATTTCTGGGATTTTATTTGTTAAAGTTTGTGGGGTCTGTACATTTTGTTTCTTCTTTACTGTCGCTTCTTAACGACAGAGTAGAGTAAAGGTTTTCATTCATTTTGTTTTCCTGTTTTTAGTATAAACTTGGAAAAAAGTTTTCAGCTTTGAAAAAAGCTTTCAGCTTTGAAAAAAGCTTGTAAAACATACCGATTTCTAACTCAATAAAAATTCCAGCGCCTTTATTGTTACCAACTTCTCCCGTGTCGTTTTCTATCGAGAAACTCTGGATACTACTTCAGTTTGGGTACCGCTTCGGACGCAGGTAATGTTCAAGTTTCCGGCAAAAACTACCTTATATACGACCCCCTGCACGACTTCGGGATTCCCAACAGGGTTTACGCCAGCGCCAGTTACATGGGATTTGGGGTGTCTATATCCCGTCAAACGGATCTGGTCATGCTTCTACTTTACACTGTCACTTGGATCGAACAGTCTGACGCCGTCACAAACGCTTGGTGGTCGGACTTGGTGCCGGAAATATCTGCTTTTACCGACGTGGGCGTTACCAAATCTCGTTACCTCGCTGTTGGCATCTGGCACGGGGTTAGACGTCCAAGAACAATTTTTAATCATTGTGGAACGTCTCGTTAACTCGGAACCTGACCTAGTACAGAGTATAGACCAGTTCTGAGCTTCGTTGCAGTACGCAAAAACAGGGCTTGCAGCCTGTTAGTCAAGAGACTTATGTAATAAACCAGGAAAATTTATTTAAAGGAGACACCTTTAGAAGTTCACGACAATTAAAGAAAAATTATCTCTGACGATTGGGGCCGTATTAGTCGTGTGCACGTTGGTTTTGTAGTTTGCTGACCGCTAAGTGTAGTTTAATTAACCACCCACTAGCAAAAAGACCCGTAGAAATTCTACAAGGTCTCACTTTATATTATATTAATATTTTCATTGTCGAGTTCTATGTAAATCATTTTCATGTTGAATTTAGTAAAAATAGTAATTGACAGAATTGTTTGTTTTTAACGGTTCGGTTAAGATAAACCCAGTCATAGATATAAGAATCCCTGAATTCTTTTGATTTAATGTCGTTAAAAGAATTAAAAATGGGTAATTATCACCCAACCCCGTTTAGCGTAAAAACTCAATCTATCATCTTCAACTGGATCGTGGTCACCTCTAATTCCAACACCACCCGATATATCTTTACAGTTGTAAAAATCTTTACAATCTACACAATGTATTGAATAAAAACAATCTATGCAGCAGCCTACGCACCTTATACAGTTTTTATAGTTGGAGCAGTTTTTACAGAACAGTTTTTTACACTATATATTTTACGCAACCTTGGGAATATTTGCAGTATGGATATTTTTGGCAATTTTTGCAGTCTTTAAAGTTTTCGCAATCGACACAGTTTTTGCAATCTTAGCACACGTGGCAATTTATGCATCAAATTTAAGCAGCATTCGAAATAATTTACACAGTCTTTGCAATCCCGCAGTCTTCGCAATCTTCACAGCTATTATCGATCGATAAAATATCCTCAAAATCATCACTTTTTTGAGAAGGCTAAAACAACGCGCCCAACAAATCCCACATGTAATCGGCTAACCAACCAACCGACTTACTCAACACGTTAATCAGCCAACTTGTCACGCTTCCGATCAGCCCGGGCAAAGCTCAATCCCATTT